AGAATAATAAGAATAATAATAATTCTGAATATTTTCGCTCTCACTTTGGAGCACAGGGCTGATTTCTCAGTTTCATGATCATTTTACAGATGGTAGGACACCTTGGGCGGGTAATCAGCTCATCGCAAGGCCTCTACATAAAGACAGGACAACACAAACACAGAATAAACGCATACACACATCAAACATACATGCCTTGTGTTTGATTCGATCCCACGATCCCGGCTTCTGAGCGGGCGAAGACAGTTCATGCCTCAGACCTCTCTGCTACCGTGACCGGCAATTCTGAATATGCACATAAGAAAATAAAAGATCTGTATTTACCAGAAATACAGATCTATGACTTAATTTGGCGTTACTCAACTGTCTCCTTACAATAACTACCACAAGCAGAAAATAGTACGACATAAAAATGAATATTCGCAACATACATAATCTGAAGCACTCTGAAGCTGATGACAAAGGAAATACGTCATTACGTGCGGCGTAGGAAGCGCTCTCCGTTAAGCACATGTTTCCAACGAGGAGCGCATTATGCAGGTAGCGACAGTGTGACGGTGCGCATTACGCCAAACTTCCGGTGGCTACCCAACCTGCCAGTGACAACCACGGCAAGCGGCAGGTAACGATAAATTTGGAATGAAAAACCAAGCGATAGTATGACTTCCAAGAACATGGCAGCGTAACACTTTCCAGCCTGCAGTACATGTTCATATAACTGGAATTTCCCGCCAAGGTACACTGCAAAACAGGCAACGATCTCTTCATCACACATGCCTATACATCGTCACATGATCATTCTACGATATTTCCTTCAACAATGCTTAAGCTCTGCAGCGCACGAGTGTGCTACTAAGTTTTTTCCCAGTCGCACTTAGGCAAACACTTCCTTATCGAGCGCCCTGTCGTATTTCAGGCAGCCTCTTTTCACCGTTACCAAGGGCAGCAGGTCATCAACTAGTGCTGACTATTAACCCAATATTACAGCTGCTGATCTGATATATGGCTTCCTATAATACCATGCCTAATTATTATTTCTACTAAATAGAATAAACTGGAAAAGCAGGAAGACAAAAGGTCAAAAGGTGAGGGACATTACGACTGAGGCGATGTGGCAGAAAACAGAGCGTCGTTCTTTTATTTTATTTTTTATGAACTCGTTAGTTATTAAACTATTTCGTCATACATTTTACAGAAGAACATTTATTTATTTATTTAACTTCAAATCAATACAATGATACCATGTAATTTTTTCCTTCCGCTATGTCATTTGACTATGTATATTTCCCCGCGTTTCTTATATACAGCCATTTGGACATTACCTTATCTTCCTTATAGCTGAACATATCCTGAACTATATAACCTGTCAATTGGCACCTGAAATAATGCTGACGTTTGAGAACGTAGGAAAAACCTAAAGATATACAAAAACAAATAAAAATTAAGAAAGCTAAAGTTGTCCCTGTGCGTAACTAATTAAGCACTACTCTATGAAGGCGTGTGGGGAGTGGATGTATAGATCCACATTTTGTTGCCCTCGGCACTAGCTTCAGGTGACTGGTCAGCTTCACGCCACGGCCACTTTGCCCCCGGGGAAAGAGCCCCTGATACCCATTGGATAGGAGGCTGGGTGGACCACAGAGCCGGTCTGGACGACGTGGAAAAGAGAAAATTCTTGATCCTACCGGGACTTGATGAAAACCTCATATTTAAGCTCAGTCCACATTTTTGTTGTCGTGACGTGATTTTTTTGGCACAAGATCTTTGCCATTTACGCCTTGTATTTATTTACGTATTAATTAAACCTTGCCGATCACGGTAGCCGAGCGGTCTGAGGCATATACTGTCTTCACTCTATGTGTTTATTCTGTGTTCGTGTTTTTCTGTGTTTAGGTAGAGGCCTTGCGACGAGCTGATCACTCTTCCAAGGAGTCCTACCGTCTGTAAAAAGATCATGAAACTGAAAAATCGGAGGCCAGGGTCCAAGGGGTCTGTAGAGCCAGTGAAAAAAATTAATTAAACGTTTTGATAGGATCTTTCCTTATTAAACCATATCGCGGCTTTAACCTTTAGTTGTTTCTTAGACGGTGACTTGCATTTCATTTAATTTATTTAAATATGCAGTTAGTAATTTAGAAAATAAGGAGTTAGATGTTATAATAATTAGCGAAATAATAAACTGAAAAAAGATGTAAAAGTGACCGGACGTGACCTAACTTGAGGTACTACCCCAATATTTGCCTGGAGGGACTGAAGTAAACAGGGCAGTTGTTGTCGCATCCGGAATTTGAACCGTATACTTCCCGAATACAAGTCAGAAGCGTTTTCATTTCAAACATCTTGTTCAGTTTTACATCTTACAGAAAAGAATTTCTGTGTAAATTCTATTTCTCCTATCCTTACTGTGAGCCGCCACTAGCGTAAATATAGAGACTCTTGGACTCCGTGACAGCATGGCCACCATCGGGTAGCATGGAGGTTATTTATGGAATGCATGATAAACTAGAATGTTGTTCCGAATGAGGAAACTGATTGGATGTTGATATGTTATAAAATTTAACGAGGCTTCTCTCGGAATGGGGACGCAGGCAACCGTCTGCTGCCTTCTCTCGTGATGAGATGCATGTAGTGTCTGAAGCAATGTATGTGGGGGAAACGGGAGAGCCAGAAACGTTATACAGGTCTGTTTACTGCAGAAGTTTCCAGTTTCTTCAGAAATGTCACAATCTGCTTAATAACATATAATCCTGGATCTGTTTGATGTTTAAAAAATAACACACTCATTTTCACTATGTCAAATTACACATTGAATGCTTTGAATGTGTTTTAGAAATTCAGTTACTCTGATCAAGTTCTAACCTCTGAAAAATCTTTATGAAACTCTGGAGAAACCTGTAGCTGATTCGTGGGTGTTATTGCGTATTCACGCAACCATGCATTTTTACTATAGTTTCACAGTAATATTCTTCGGGGTAAAGGCGGCAGGCGCGTAAGGCTGACAACCTTACCGACATCTGTGACTGTTTTTCTAGAGAAAATATGGGAGCCTCGACGTCTCACAACCCTATGGGTCTCCACGGCCTGTTACAGGGATACCTTTACTTTTTACTTACTTTTCACAGTAAGATGTATAAAGGAATTGCGCATATGTAAATAAACTGTAAAAACGAATACAATAAAGATTCATATGTTTACGTATGTATCTTAAATGCAGCAACTCATTTCATTAAAATATGGGATTGATATTGTCGCGTATCGGGCGTATATCGCGACAAATAAATTCACGAGGTATTCGATGTAGCGAATTTTATTTCACACTCGCACTTACAATCACACAATTGACAGTTGTACAATTACTGCTATCTGCAGTATCACAATTAGTACACTCCAAATGCCAGAATACAACTGACTAGTTGCTGGCTAACTCGGCGGTGGCTCCAGGACTCACTGACTGACTCAGTACAACTCAGTACAACTAACTGTGAATAGCCTTCGCTGCTCCGTATGTAGCCTCGATCGGACAATACGGGAAAACGGCCACGTAATAGGCACCCTTGTTGGTATGTCGCTGTGTTGCTATGTAACGCTAGCGGAGGTAACCGCTGTTACTACTTGGTGACGTCACCGCTGTTGACTTGCGTTGCCTAGCGACCAGGATGCTAGGACTCGGCTAACATCGGCTCGCTTCGGCTTCGCTCGGCGCATCACGGCTGGCGGGGGGGGAGGGGCGTCATCCATAGCTCAGCACGTCACAATATTAACATCAAGACATGTTTACCTATATGTTGAGCTGGGAGACTGAATGAAATGCAGTCTGACGAGAAATATTCGCATATTTGAGTGATGACATCACCTACAGCCGCTGTTATTCTCTTTCGGTAAAAACTTATCACAAATAACCACATTCAGGGAAACGGTATTACTACTCATGAAAAACATTTGTAACTTACCCCGTGGTACCACGTGACCGCGTTTGATTCGGGCTGGGGGTTGGCCCTCACTTCACACGACAAGAGCACCTCATCCCCTTCTTTGACCGTACCCAGGTCGATATTGGACTCGAGCTGAACCATCACCGAGGGCGGGTCTGCAAAAAAAAAACACCCAGAAAGAATATATATACCTACACAAGCAAATGAAATCCATAAACATTCGTTGGGCTCTTCCCAGCAAAAATGAAATGGAGCTTCTGCTACTGTTAAAACGCAGATATTCATGAGAAACCCCCCCCCCACCCCGCTCAACACCCCATGAACTATACGAGAAGCCTGAGCCCGGCAGAACGTCCATGGCAGTATCACAGACTGTGTGCAGGACACATGTGTTTGTTTAGGACGTGCGAGTGAATATCAGGTGTCTTGTAACTCAGTAGCCATATTTAGAGACTTATTTCATGGCTTAGAATGTTTGACAGAGATGCATAAGGATGAAGCTGAAATATAAACTTCTGTGAGTTCTATGCGAAGGTTGACAGTCCACCATTCGCACTCTCCCCTATTTCCTTGAACGTGAAGCTATATATTGATATCAATATTAAGAAAGTCAATTTATATCCGTTTAAATTACAATACACAAGATTACATTAAAATTGAAATATTTTATCTTCCCTGATATAAAAATTGAGCCTACGTATGCTAGTTTGCAAACTATACTCTGATATAAAGTGATTTGGGGAACTATAATTCTTTGTTAACTGTTTTCCGCTGTCGAAACATATAAATTACCTGTCCTATGTGTAGAAAAATCACTAATCTCTCTAGGTCACTGTTCAGTACTATACATGGCTTCTTGTACGGACCATATACATCTTCACAGCTTTGTCATTATGCATACGAGATATTTCGACTACATTTTTAAACATACGCGTATTTATACATATGTTTATCAAAATTACATTGGTATAATTTATTTAGCTTATTAGAAGGAAAGTGAATCTAACAACGATAACAAACCGTAGCCTATGGTAACACTTTCATCTGCGTTACTGATCTACATTTACCCAGAGTTTTGTTGCATAATATGTTTTCCTTTGTAATTAATTCAAGAAATAAAATTGGGAAATTTATATGAAATTTCACGCGAAATAGGACAGAGAACTGGGTCAGGAAACCCATATAGGACTGGAATTACATAGCACAATTGTTTCGGCCATTAACTCAAGATATACCCAATAAGAGAGAACAGCCAACTCGCAAATGTGTGCGATGTTTAATGGTCCTTTCCTTCCTCCATGAGTAAGTTTAATCAGAATGCATAGGCCGGCTTTGTAACCAAATGGTTTGTTGAGTTCATGCGAAAATAGCTTTCATGCTGCAAGATTGTCCAGTCTGCTCGTAGATTTCCAGTAGAGATGTTTACAGAATTGGTTTTCAGAATTTACTTTAGATAAAAATTTTGTTCGTAAATCCGTTCAGGTTTAATTTCAACCTTATATTATTTATTCTTAAACTGACTCTCTTTATGATACTATGTTACAAGACTCGTAAGAATGCATTTTATATCAGAAAAGTGTTTGGATGGAGTTACACATTTTGAAAGCATGTTTTAATTTCTATTTACAAGGGACAGCCCTGAAATCGAGTCACCAATCCAAATCGCGTCTGTAGTCACACAAACACGTGACAATATGAAATTTATCTTATAGTTAAAAAATGTAAAATTATTGAAATACCGAATCAGTCATCCAGCCAGTCAGTAGGTTAGTCAACATTTAGTGATGCAATCTGTGTAATTAGTCGAATTCTTCCCAAATATCCCTGTTTATGATATAAAAATATGCATAGTTTATAGAATGCGTTTACTCTTTGGGTGATGATGCTCTGTAAAGAGTTCAAAATAAAGTTAGCTTTGAAATACGATGATACAGATTGTCTTGTTTGGCAGTTAAAGCGACATGATCGTCGTTGTCGCTTATCTGAACCCAGCGGTGATAGTTCATATGGTGATTAGTAGTGTTGCTACGTTCTTGGTTGAACCTCAAACCTTCATTGCAAACTAGACGGGTACAATGACACTCTGTACGTGTTTTCGCCCTCCAACAATGTGGTAATGTTTCAGAGTAGATTTTTATCTATTTCCTCCAAATAATTCCCAATTCATCATTTCCATGCCCATCAACTTCTGATTTCAGCATACATAACTAACAGAGTTGACACAAAGTGACACTAACCACTCCCACGTGACGTCCAAAACTACACGACAAGTTCGATTAATATATTATTGTTATACAATTAGGAAACAATCTGTCAGCTTCCCTACATCGGCAGTTGAACTAAGGTAAAAGATAAAAAAGGTACAGCTATCTCTCCAACAGGCCGTGGAGGCCCACAAGGTGGTGAGACGTCGATGTTCCCACGTTTTGTATAGACAATCAGTTCACACATGGCGGTAAAGTTGTCAGCCTTACGCTCCTGCCGCCCTTTACCCACGAGGAAGATACCTGGTACTAATTTATGTTAGGGGCTGAGTCGATCCCAGGGCTGGAAGAATAAGGTCAATTGAAAAAATCCACCTACTCGTGACTCGAACCCTCGAACTTCCGGCTTGTATTATGGTGCCTCAACAAAATAATCTGCAGCGTACCCCATATTTGAATTACGGAGCATGTAGCTGAATACCTCCTGATTCTGATTCCACTTTACATAATCAATACAACTGATACAGTATCGTTAAACGAATCAAGAGAGAAATCTCTCGCAAGTTTCTTCAACATCGTTTCATTATTACGAATTAGCTTAGGAACTCAGGATATTCCCTTGGGATTCGACCCAAGAGATTTTCGCTTATAAATCAAAACTTGTTACGATTAGAAAGATACTCCCAATTAATTTTAAAGTATTATATAAAAATTTAGTAATATTCAACTAAACAAAATACATAAGATATTTTACACTTTTACTACTTCTGAATATTAAAGCTAAGTTGCCGAAATATATTGTGCCATATGGTATAAATGGAAGTGAATAGAGAAGGGGTGTCCTGAATATGAAACAGTTGCTGTGTGAACTCGCTCTTCAAATTAGATTAGCAGCTACACGGCGTGAACTGGAAGCGTTCCGTATACACATTCATTCAACATGTTGCGTTCAGTGAGGGTTTATCTGGGTACATCTGACTGCAGCAGCAATCGCAGGCCACGCACTGGACTCTCGGCCACTTATCTTATCGGAAAACGCCCTTCTGACAAGTTAGCCATTATTTTTGAATGGTGAGGTCCTAAGGATCATTACCGTAACAGGTAGCAATCTAAACCACGATCGTAACCTTGTAAACATCACCAAAATCTAGATGGATAAATACACTGTTTCTCTTTCAATTTGTAGTCAATCAGAAGGCCATATAACCCTCTTCCTTACTGAAACACGATGTCAGTAAAATTCAACTGAATTTTTCAGAGTCTAAAAATTGGATATATTAGGGACTCACACAATAAAAATGAGATACTTACCATGACATCTAATTAAAATTTTCAAAATTGTAATGCCATAACAAGAGTGCTTTGAGCAAGTCGGAAATGTAAGGTAGAATAAGATGAGTAATTGGGCCGCGCCATAGCTCAAGCGGTTAGTCGCTGGCTTCCCATCGCGGAGGCCCGGGTTCGATCCCGGGTCTGGTCAAGTGGGATTTGTGGTGGACAAAGTGGCGGGGAGGCAGGTTTTCTCCCAGTACTTCGGTTTCCCCTGTCAATCTTCATTCCGCCAATTGCTCCACAATCACCCTCACCTATCATCTGGGGCTGGTACAATAGGCCAGAAGTGGCCGCAGTGCAAGGGTCTTAGTCCCACCCCACTAGCAATAAAAAAAAAAGATGAGTAATTTCATATTTCGAGTTCTAAGTGGGCCTAGAGTTCCAGGTTTCCACGTGATTTAGATGCATGATCTCATGCCAGCATAAAGTCATCACTGACCTTTCAACATATCAAACTGGTACAGAAGAAGATAGAATTAACATGGGCACCGATACTTTGTTTCTTGCGGCTTCGGACTATCCGTCCAGTTCTCGGATATTTTCTTTAACGGAGAATTCATTGTTTAAGAAGAGTCTTCGTCGGTATTGGCATGGCTGTCTTGACCCTCAGATGCTTTGATTTATTGTAAGCATGAGATCTGCATAGAGGTACCCGGATTCTTGTATGGACTCTCTGTCTTTGGGCCAGGTTAGGTTATTCATTCAAAGTGATATGTACTTCATTCGCTGGCTCTACAGCCCCCTTGTGCCCTCTCCTCTGATTTTTAGTTTAATAATCACTTTACAGACGGTATGACTCCTTGGACGAGTGATGAGCTAGTCGCAAGGCCTTTACCTATACATGAGACAACACAAACACAGAATAAACATATACACATACCAAACATCAATTCCTTGTGTGGGATTCGAACCCACGATCTCGGCTTCCGAACAAGAGAAGACATTTCATTCCTTAGGCCGCTCGGTTACCGTGACTGGCAGATGTGTACCTTCAATAGATAAATTAATAAAAAGATGAACGCGGAACAATATGAAAAGTAACGGGTGCGATCTATTTTACAGTTCTGAACAAGTCTATAGATTACGTAATGGAGGAAAGCAACAGAGTATTTTGCACGACGTTCAGTGACAAAAATTCGAGATATATTCTATATAAGGCAAACTGTGGTAAACTTTGTTACTGAAGGTGTAATGCACGAGATATAAGATGCGACATTTGCCGACTGAGTAAGCAGAATGGTTATTAGCAGTACTGGCAATAGTTACCGAGCCCTATATGCGTTACATACAGATATGTTAGTATTATAAATAAATCAGCCTCTACAAGAAGGCCCTATGTTTATGTTTCCCATAGCAAAGAGAGAACTTACATAAATGGTGAATTAGATACAATTGTGATTTGAGGTGCTTATTCAGTGTGGTCCCCTGGAGAGAAACGGGTTAGAGAGAATTAAAAATCAGACTGAATTTGTATGCATGTTATCGTTCCCCTAACCAATCTTTAAAAAAATCCTATATACCACCTTCATTTGTAAATGTCCACCAGACTACTACCAAATTATGACTTACAAATGGAATGAATTAATGGAAATCTGAACTGCAAAATCGATAAAAACAATAAACAAATGAATTTTCACAGTCTGTAAAGTACAAAAAAACAAATCAAACGTCATATTTTCGATATATGCGGCAAAATGCAATTGTTATGTAACAGAAGTTAACACAATTTCAGCGATCTCAATTTACTCGTCGGGGTTAATTCCAGTGAACTTTGTTGGAGAGATGTTTCAGTTAGCAACATGACAATCATAAGTAGACTACGCTGTTATACAGTTGTGAACCCACGAATTCAAACTCCCCCCAGAGTTTGGATTCGTGGGTTCAAAGACGCTTCAGCGGCTACTGTTGTTTTGTGTGGGATGCCGCCATCTGTGAGCCGACTGTCTAGAAAATGTGGGAACCTCAACATCTCACAAATATAGGGGCCGCCACGGCCTGTTACAGGAATGCCTTTGAGATTCTGAATCCGAAAACTGTCAAGGCGTTTATGCCATGAACACGCTAGAGGGATTGAGACAAAGCTGCATGCATTTTTACTTGTATGTAATTACTAACAGAAAAAATTAAAACAATTTCATCTTGTTCTCAGCCTTAAAAGGAAATTAATAGTATAAAATTTTGAGATGGAGAATGGTATTAATAGAACAGTTTTCAAATATTTATGGACTTGGTTTGTAAGAACAATGATATTAGTCTCCTTGGTTTTCCTCTAATTATAGTTCAATAAGCAAAGCAATTTTTTTTTCCTTGGCACTACAGCCCCAGTGGGCCTAGGCCTACCTACCTTCTCCGTTCACTTCTGTTTTTCTAGATCTTACACATTCGGTAGGACTCCTTGGGCGGGTGATCAGCTCGACGCAAGTTTTTAAAGGAACTAAGCAAAGTTTTAATGTCCGCCTGTGTAACAAAAACATCTCTTCTTGTTGTGTTGATTTGAAGTATGGCCTGCCCGCTGAGGTTGTTGAAGGGCCGCGGTATTTTGACCGTGCAAAGGTAGCATAATCATTAGTTCTACCTGTACACAAACACAGAAAAACGCACACAAACATCCATGCTCTGAGTGGGATTCGAACCCACGATCCCGGCTTCCGAGCGAGCGAAGATAGTGCACGCCTTAGACCGCTCGGCTACCTTGACCGGCAGTGTATAAGAATAATATATAAGAATTCAGTTCGTACCTCACAGGAAACAGATCCGAACCCACGATCCCGGCTTCCGAGCGAGCGAAGACAGTGCACGCCTTAGACCGCTCGACTACCGTGACCGGCAAAACTATGTTTAGAAGACAATATTTCCTATACATTTTCTCAAGGCCGATACCAACAACTTTTGTCTTTCCATTTATTTCTGGATCACCGTGTTCGCTGATTTACGTAAAGGTGTCCAGGTGCTTACTTAATTAAGCACCACGCAATGAAGACGAATGGGGGAGTGGAGGTATATCTCCACCATTCTTGACCTCTACACTATATGGAGGTGAGTAGTCATCTTCACGTCCCGGCTGCCTTATCCCCAAGGAAAGAGCCCCCGGTACCAATTTGATAGGAGGCTGGGTGGACCTCAGAGCTGGCCCGGACACTGTGACGTAAAGAAAATTTCTTGGTCCGGCTGGGAATTGAACCACGGCCGAGAGGATTCAGGGGACACAAAGTCTGGTTATGTCTCCCTGGATTTACATACCTGGAAAACAATAATGACCATGCGATTATACGAGTAATTATGAATTTAATCAAGTCAAATATTTGGACTTCTTTAATTTTGGGTGAGATACTATAAAATGTAAATTAATTGTAATTAACGATTTGTATATTAAATGAGGTGCAAAACGATAACATTGCGGGAGCAATGCAGGTAGCATACACTGACTGCTTCAGTACGCAACTATGGGTATGGATTAAAGCGAAATGGCAAGAGAAGGATACAAAGATAAGGAAACTGGAGGGGGGGGGAGGTGTAAGCGAGCGATCGGAATATAAACGGCTGAATTTGTGCCCAGTTCTAAATCGAGGATCATCTCCAATTCTCTTCAGGTTTCGAAAAGGTTAAGAAAGGAGCGAAACTACTAACAATTCCAAATATATTGACCTCTTCGTTACCGATGTTTCGAAGGAACTTACTGACTTCACCTTAAGTGTCACAAATTGAACTAAGAAAACGAATAATAAGCAGTCAGCAAGCAGGGGATAAAATACGTATAACCTACGTAATATTAAGCCGATTACATTGGCCAAGCGGTCTGAGGCATGTAATGTCTTCGCTCACTGGAACACTGGGTTCATGGCTTGGAATCCCATTCAAGACATGGATGTTTGTCTGCGTTTATTCTGTGCTTGTGTTGTCCTGTGTAGGTAGCGGCCTTGCGATGGGCTGATCCCCCGTCCAAGGAGTCGTACCGACTGTCTAAGATTAAGATACTGAAGTGAAACGAAGCGTTTCACGGATGCCCTATGATTCAAGTACGAGCAACAGGAATGAAATGGATGGATGAATGAAAGGATGGATACGTAATATTAATTCCCTCGTTCATACTGGAAGTTCATCCTCTTCATCACCACACAACCCTATAAGTATTTAAATTGTTTGTTAGCATGATGAACTTCAGACTTTCGAAATATCAGGTTTTGTGAGTGTACAAATATTATAATTTCTCTATACTGTGCTCCTTAAAATTCGTATTTTTTTCCCTTGACACTGCAGCCCCAGTGGGCCTAGGCCTACCTCCATGAACTCCGTTCACTTCGGTTTTTCTAGATCTTACACATTCGGTAGGACTCCTTGGGCGGGTGATCAGTTCGCCGCAAGGCCTCTACCTGTAGACAAACACAGAAAAACACACACAAACATCCATGCCCTGAGTGGGATTCGAACCCACGATCCCGGCTTCCGAGCGAGCAAAGACAGTACATGCCCTAGGCCGTAAGGCTACCGTGACCGGCTTAAAATTCGTATTACTACTGTAAATCCTTGGCTTAACGTAAATATTTCAGCATTACCAAGGTGCGATATTCAAGATGCAAGAAGATAGTTAGCTACGGCAGTGTTACAGCTAGTATTGAGCACACGGATTGTGCTTTTGTGACCGTTGAAGGGAGGGGACAGTTTACCATTTCTCTCACCCCATGTTGTGGCTCTGTAATGCTCATATTATATTGCCCTGCTTGGAGAGTGTCCGCCCCATTCATGAGACACACCCTACAGTCCACGAATCTGCACTGCTGATGAGCGCTTTTAATGTTTCCGGATTAAACCACTTGCTTCGAGTACAAGGTGCCTCAACCTTCTCATCACATTATTATCATATGCTCCAAACGGTGCGCCAGGCCACGGAAGTGTATGTTGGGTATGGAGAGACACCGTAGCTCACGAAATTGGTTACTGGCTGTTGGAAGCACTCAAATAAATGCTCTGAATTGAACTGAACTGAAATTATGGTCTTTACCACTACACCCGCCACACGACACAGCCATTCCAATTCCTACATCTTAATTCCGGATGTACGAACCTGTAATCGAGGTCTGAAGTCGATCTTACCGTCACACTAACGACCCCTCATTCATCGATAAACGCTAGGCGTCGAAATATATAACCGTCCAGGTGATCAAGCATGCCACGACCATTTCTACTATAACCTGTTCGAAGCAAACATCTTCAAGGAAAATCTGGGATACATGTGATTATGTAAACACATGTTCTGCTAATTTATGTAACTAGCCGGGTATAACTTTTGAATCTAAGTTCCTTTCAATTTCCTTTAGCCATCACAAAGCCAAACAGTTATGCTTAAAGAAGAAATATATGCTTCCAATCAGGTTTTAAGGCATATTACATAAAATAAAGGCAGCAGGAAAGTGTAACGAGATTAATATTCGATTGTATATGTAGGCAAACTTACTGCAGTGTAATGCAAATTATCGTTTACCAACAGTTACCACATCTCTTTAATTATAACCTGTATCTTACCATTATCCGCATTCTTTTATCCACGCTCATGTAATTTGTCATTCATTTTATATTTCTCAATGGCTTAATTCCAAGAATTAAATAACTTCCAGAAGTTTAAAATAATTAATAGAAGAAAACAGATTTTATTTAATCTTCATTTTTTAATATGAACCACAAAGAAATTACTCAAATACCGCGAAAACATTTATTCGTCCTAAACCTCAGCGTTACGTTGCAAATTAAAATTTTCACAACTTAAGCAGTTATGTTATTCTGTTCTTTAGAACTAAACGCTTTTAAATTTCACATTTTGTCCTGCCCAAATTAGTTTTTAAGTATTTACACGTTACGCTAGCCTTTAGAGGCAATTCAGCTTTCTTTTTTAATTGGAATTCATCGTGTATTACAAAATAATTACCTCAAAAACAAACTTTTAACGGGAGACTAATGCATTCAGATTTTGGAATGGACAAACAGAAGCTAATAAACTGCTACATTTTAAAAAGTGGACCCTCGGTAGCCACATTGGATTTATTATACCCCGTAACACCTGTCGTCTGTTCAAATGACATGAATTTTAAGGCAGAATAACCCATGCAAATTATTGTATGTTGACTCTAATTAAGACAGTGACATTTCTGTATATTTCATGAACTACACTTATTTCTCTGTCTTCTTCTTCTGCTTCATATCAATGTACAGGCAATAAAGTCCTTTCGAAATTTTCACGGGTTATTAATTCCATTTTCTCAAGATCTTCCTTTGGTCTTCACGCCCTTTTGTTTCATATTGAAGAACCTTTTTCGGTTTTATTTACTTGATCGGCGATTCTATCCGAAGGGCATATCCAATTTTGTCTGTGTTGAATTATTTTATACGTATTCTTAATTCCTTTTATTTCCTAATATATCCATTCTTAAAGTGGTCTAGTCTAGTGCAGCTTAAAACCATTCTTAAGCATATAATCTCCACCCTTCGTGTTCTTACACGTCCAGCTGTCTTAATTGTCTAAGATTCATTTAGATACAGCACAGTTGGTAGCCCTGGTAGTTTATACAATTTCGGCTGCTTTCTTTCCTATCATAAAGATTTTTTTTAATTCGCTTAGTGTGGGATGGAGTCCAGCTGGGTCCACTCGGCACGGCGGTCACTGATTGGCCTATTGTACCAGCCCTGGGTGATTATGATGATGGAGAATTTGGTGGAATGCAGATTGGCAAGGGAAACCGAAGTACTCGGATAAAACTCGCCCCAGCGCCACTTTGTCCACCACAAATCCCACTTGACCAGACCGCGGGATCGAACCCGGGGCGCCGCGGTGGGAAGTCAGCTACTAACCGCTTGAGCTATTGCGCAGCCTATCATAAAGAATAATTCTTCCTAGATATACGTGTATTACACAGTGTATGTACTTATATCTTAATGATGTTTCTTGTACAAATAATTCGTTGTGTTGTATTTTAGTTGTAGCCTGTAAGTGTGATTCTAGTATCATGACGCATAGGTAAAAAAAGGTAAAAGTAAAGGTATCCCTGTAACAGGCGGTGTAGGCCCATAAAGTTGTGAGAGGCTCCCATATTTTCTAGACAACTGACTCACCAGATGACGGTGAGGTTGTCAGCCTTACACGCCGGCCACCCTTTACCCTCAGGGGGATTCCTGGTACTCATTTCTTCTAGAGCCTTAATAGACCCAAGAGCCAGAGTGCGGCTGGAAGGATTAGTTAGATTTAAAAATATCCTCCTCATTGGGATTCGATCCCGAGACCTTCAGGCTTGTAGCACAGTGCCTCAACCAACTACGCTACCGCGTGCCCCCTTATAACGCATAGGGAAATATGAAATTGAACTGATGAGTAACTGCGACAAAGCAAGAATAAGTCTTGAATGTTGCGCTCATAACATAGCCAGCTCGTAACATTTGAAATCGTACCAAATCAGTAGCCCGCCATTACCAATATAACTCGCCAACATGTAAGATATCGAAACTAGTTTTGAGGTCAATGTTTTCGGAACCGACGTTTTCATCTCGTTTCACAGAATCCATACAGGCGCTCTGCACTAACCCCACAATGTCCGGCCACACAGAGCGCTACCCTACCGCCCAACCAACCTCCCGTCCGGTAATGCCCCCAAATTACATCGGTCTATGCGGGATCGTATATCAAGCAGAATACCGGCACTGCTTCTCCAGTACACTGTAGGGTGGGTGTGTGTGTCTATTGGGGAAAGTTCTGTTCTGTTCCTGCCGGTCACCCCCAGAACTCTCGCTTAGATGAGACAACAATTCCCAGAGTTAAAAGAGGAAGGAAAAAAGAAAGACAAGGGAATAATGGGCAAATGAATGAAACATGGGGGGAAAAAAATAAGAAACGAGAGTATAACGCTTTTGTGTTTTATTTAATGACATTGTAATTGAAATTATACGTGTATAACGTTGAACGATTGAACAACGGTGAATAATGAACTGGAAAGGTCTGGAAGGAAGCTATTGTAACCTAACTTAAGGTACTACCCCGAAATTCGTATGGAAGAACCGATGAAAATCACGAGAAACCTTACTCATGATCCTGGTACGTCACGTGTATTTGTCAGATGCGTTGTCCTTCAAACCACTTTATTAGTTACGGAAATATTTTTGTGGCTCTGATAAGGTTCGGAACAGAACAATGGACATTAAATTGTTTGACTGTGATTAATGATGTGTACGTCATTTAACTGACTGAGATGTACAAAGAGGCCAAGATATAGGAAAGGTGTGTGAATTCCATCCAAAAACTGTGTAAAGTGCGACTGTATGGAAGCATTTGCCCCATGTAGATCGGCCACTTACATGCGACATCAAGCCGTGTCCGGTCTTCCAGCATTCCCCCGAGAAAGTGTTTGTTTTCCGCACGACACGCCATTTCCTTCCCATCATCCCCCGCGCGAGGCCTGAACAACAGGACGCTGGTCGTCTTGTTCGCAGTCTCTGTCACCTAGGAACACAAGCATCATGTAATTAGGTCACATCACCGTCAGGAGCGCAAGAAACTGTAACACGGTCCCTTACAAAAGACAGTCGCTGAAGGATAATTAATCAAAGGACACTGTTTGGAATGGAGGAATAACTTACGTAAAGCAGCATTTCGAAAGTTACACAAATAATATCAAAACAATGTTTTGGGGACGTTATTTATTTAAGACGTTAATTTCTTGACTGCGATAAAACTATTATAAAATATTAGTAATCGAATTATATTTTAAAATTCAACATAGAGCGTTATTTTAAAAAGATATTCTTTAATCTCATTTGCGTTATAAATTCATATTCCTTAGGTTATTTAAACATGAACCAGCACAGATAAAGGATTTTTTTTTCCTGTGGCGCTACAGCCCCAATTTGGGCCTAGGCCTACCTCCATGAAGCTCTCCGTTTCACTTCGGTTTACTAGATCTTATACATACGGTAGGACTCATTGGGCGAGTGATCAGCTCGTCGCAAGGCCTCTACCTGTAGACAAACACAGAAAAACGCACACAAACATCCATGCCCTGAGTGGGATTCGAACCCACGATCCCGGCTTCCGAGCGAGCGAAGACAGTCAGATAAAAGAATAAGGATTGTAAAAACTTCTAAGCCTCCACAGCAATAACACTTTAATCAGTGGAGGATTTATATACCGAATACAACTTTAATTTAATTTAATTTGTAATAATTTGAAGTTTATAGCAAAATACATGCAGTCAATTGACGCTAATAAAATTACAAATTTATTATAACATTACTATAGGATTCTGACGATGGTGTATAACACACTAATATATTGGGTTTTCGGACTTTATCCATCGTCCTGGTTTTTAAGATAACTAAAAAAACACGACGTTTCGGAAACTGGATCTGTTTCCGTCCTCAGGTGAAGAAAAATACCTATTCTGTTGGGTCCGTTAGAAAGAGCTAGCCTCAATCACTGGACAAACCGGTGTCGTGTGTTATTAGTTATCTTAAAAACCAGGACGATGGATAAAGTCCGAAAACCCACTATATCAGTGTATTATAACATTGTTAGTTGATCCATCCCTGTATCAGGCCGTGGATGCCTATACGGTTGTGAAACGTCGAGGATCCCACATTTTCTTCATAATCGGCTCACAAATTGCAGTGAGGTTGTCGGTCTTACGCGCCGACTGGCTGACCTTTACCCCCAGGAAAATTCTTGCTACTCATTTCTGTTAGAGGCTTAGTGAATTCCATGGTCATAGTGCGGCTGGAAGGATTAGATCAATTGAAAAAAATCTAATGACCTCATCGGGATTCGAACCCACAACTTTTCGGCTCGTAGCATATTGCTTCAACCAACTACTCTACCGCGTGCTCCAATATCATAAACGAAATTTAATTAAAAAAGGACATGTGCTCTAATTAGCCATTTTATTATGACGATCTATACATGATGCAGACGTAAGTAACGATGTCATTCAATTTAACGCAGTAATTAGCAATGAACAAAGCACGAGGCCACGGAGACGAGTAGAGTATTGGAGAATGCAAACGTTCTTAACCTTGTCACTAGATGGGAGTACTATCGACCACAGATGAATTAGAAATGGAAATTACTGCGTAATCAGAATTCGTAGCCATGTTCTAATCCGTTGATCTTCAAATTTATCTTGTTTAGTGAAGAAGTTTAATTTTCCCAGTAAGGACAGAGAAGAGAAAGTCAGATAAATAGACTGAAAAATAGTTCACTGAAGCACACGATAAGATGTGTCTAATTTAAACTAGACCTGTTCATATATTCCAGAACTAATTTTTGCCATTTTGTATATCTCACTGGCCTTGAAGTTAATTAATTTTGGGCATAGTTCTGTTGCAAAAATTGAATCGAAACATCGTCATTTGTAGTGCAAAGTATTTTACATTTTTCTTCCTCTTTTACACTAAATGTTAAAATAACTTATATAAAATTAAACTTTCCGTATGCTTCACTCGAAAACGCTTTCTCACCTAACGCTGCTATGAAAACATACGTAATATTGACGCGAAAAATAAAATTTACATTTCGAGTGACCATTAAGAAGAAATTTTAGCACATTTATTTTGTTTTTGTTTGAGTAATGGACGTAACTTGCAAGCTGAAAGGGATGAAGGCAGTCAGAGATGGATCTTAAAACGGATGGAATAAAATCGCAGTTTATAACAATCATTCGTGCAGGGGAGAAAAGCTAAAACAATATCAGAATGCTTAAATTTAATGAAGAAACAAGATAGGTGCACACATAATTAAGAAATCTCTCAGAAGAGACAAAACAATTGATGGGGATAATATTAAAATGTATCTAGGGACACAAGACCTGTGGAACTGCACTGCTCACTGCTGAAACTCCACGCTGGGTTACAAGAAAGTTATTGTTCTGTCTTCTGTTGAAAATATAAAGACTGCATACAAAGGAATATAGATGGAACTCTTATAAGAACGATCTGCAGGTCACATGGTCTCGGTGTGTAGCATCTGGTTACGTGGAGGGTAGACACGACTCAGCCATGGTAAGAGAAGGGAAGGAAAACCAGAATAAAAACCTTGGTCCTCCAAGATAGCGGGTTTTGCAACAGGATGGTAACCTGCTCAAGTAATAAATATTATTCATTATCCTCAAAGATGCTTTATGTTTGAGGAAGAAACGCACTAACAGGCTCAATGCTCGTAGACGATGATGATGATGATGACGAGTGCATACCGAGGTCGGGGCGTTCCTGAGGGGCTCACCGTCGAGCAACCACATGATGTTAGCAGGCGGCAGGGAGCCCGTCGTCTCGCATTGCAGCTGATGTGTCTTTCCGGCAGACAGTGGCGCCGCTGGCATTGTGATTCGCACAATTCGGGGCTTCACTGCAACACACGGATGTTGCATGATAACGAAACACAGTACAGTCCAGGAATACGTCAAACAGCTCTCCCCTGGGGAATGGAACAAAAATTTACAAACACATGTCTGCATGACAGTCATTAGAAGAATGTACTATCTAAGAGGGTAGAAACTAGTAGGGAAAATATGAGATTCTATTAATTAGAAACGTATTACCGTATTTACGCATGTATAGGCAGCACATTTTTTGCCAAAAATTCAAGAGGAAAACTGGGGTGCGGCTTATATTCGAAATATTCGAAATCACACTTCATTTAAAAAAAATTATATTCATAATTAGTAATACAGGGTGTAATACTCCTGAAATAATATTCCAAGAAAATTATTTTTTCTATAATTTCTGTCTGAAAATACGCAAGCTGCCTATACATGCGTAAATACGGTATTTTCAGAGGGAAGTTAGTCAGAAAAGTGGCGTACGACCATTATTCGATTCCTAAACGCGGTGTCGGGCTTAGAGTCCCGTAAAATATCAAATATCTGCCCACATTTGAATATAGTAACAATTCAGCTTCTCACCATTCCGCGTCTAATTCAAGTTCAAGTCCACTGAGGTTTGTAACAGAGGACTTAAATGGGACGCAACTTGACGTTCACTTCCCACGTTCGTTTATAGCGCTTCTCGCGAAATCAGAATAACAATTACGTATGGGTCATTTCACCGCAGGCCCAGGAATATCAGTGAGGTTACGGTGGCAAACACATACTATAAAAGAGGGGAAAAGATAAATGCTTATGAAGATTTTGCGGGAAACCTGCTGGAAGACGACCGCTTAGAGAACTGATTATAAGCAAGATATTATTGACCTTAAAGGGATGGGTTCGAAGGATGTGGAGATCACTGGGCAGCGAATAATAATAATAATTCATATTTATCATTAAACATTGGGATTTATTTATATTTACACATACACCAATTTCTTTGCTGGATTTTAAGGATTTCTGCATTGTTAGTTGTGGTGTTTATATCCAACATTAACAAAAATGGCCAGCATAAACAAATATGACATCATAAACATCAAGGTTTAGATCCATTACATTCCTCTATAAGATAGGATAATTCTTCTAGCGTAACTTTGGGCGGCTAACGGATCTTGTCCTATTGACGTAAAGCTCATTAAAGGTTTTGGAATGCGTTAGGTTACATTCTTTCAACATGATGAATTCAATTAAGTTTTCATTCTGAATTCTGTTATTTAAATTGAATATATTTAATTATTTTCTATTCACTGTTTCCAACCGATCCTTCAATGAGTACAAGGTAAAGGTAAATTTGTCCCTGTGCTTAAATCATTAAGCACTATTCCATGAAGGCGTATGGGGGAGTGGATGTATAAATCCACATTTTCTTGATCTCGACAATGGTTGGAGGTGAGTGGTCAGTTTCACGCCCCGACCACTTTGCTCCCGCCATAGAGCCCCCTGTGTCCATTCTACAGAAGGTTGGGTGGACCCCAGAGCCGGTCTGGACGATTAGAGAAGTGAAAATTCTTGACCCTACAAGAACTCGAAGTCCGACCCTTCGGTCGTCCAGCCCATAACCAATCGCTATACCGACCGCGCTATCCCGGCTCCTTCCATTAATGAGTACCTTGTAAAATTCCTAAAACATTCATTTATGTTGTTTCTGTTATTTTTGACTTTGCTGTTTCATCAGTATCCATGTTTCAGAGCTGTACATTAACGTTGGGATAACCACAGTTTTATAAAATTTAATTAGTGTTTCCTTCCTTGTCTTTTTATTCGATATCCTCCTTACCGTCTCACAGATGCGGTTAACTTCGTTTCAAAATATTTATGTCATGGCCTTTTCAATTCCAGGAAAAGCCGATTCCACTTTCCTTTTCTGACGGTGCGAGTACAGCAGTGCACTTCGGAAATTTCCACTTACTGGACCGAGGAGAAGGGCGGATGACATTAAGATGAATCTTACAAAGTTGGGCTGTAAGGTACCGTAAGGATGGACTAACTCAAGTTCTTGTCCAATGTCGGCGCAAGCTGAACCTGCTCTGCTACCGTAGTGTCAGCCTATAGCCATTAATCTATAGGCTATTGAAAACTGGTGGAACAAACGACTGCTCCACCACACGAATAATCCTATATGAAATGTTCCAGAACCGAAACTGAGGTCTCCGCGGTAAGATTCTGTATCTGGTTTCAGAAAACTTTCTGCATCATATATAACATGCAAATCGAGAGAAATTACGTATTTGCATCCAAACAATAAGCAACAAAACAAAAATAAAATCCGTGGTTTTAGTCTGCAAGCGATCTATACCGACTGAGCGAGAGCCGCTTGTCGGCGAAGTTAGTGCCAAATTTAGCGGATAGAGGGTGTAGCGTGGTCAGCGCAACGAATCCCCATGGTCGTTAGTTTCGGTTTTCTAGACATGAGCCGCTATTTCCTTGAAATAGCTCCTCAATTATCCTCACGAGGCTGAGTGAACCCCGTTCTAGACCTGCTAATTCTAAAAAATCTGGTAGCGCCGGGAATCGAACCCGGTCATCTGGATCTGTAGCCAGAACTCTGACCACTATAACAGAGAGGCTGCTGTCCCAATAGTAAGAGTATCCCTAATTCACAACTGTTCAGCATCTGACCAGTTCAAATCCGAGATCTGGAGTCAGTCTTGAGAACTCGTTCAGCAGTCACGAAATTCCGATTCTTGTTACAGAACCCAAAATTTTATTTTCGGGTGCACAAAAGTTGGCCACTGGACGCCAGCTGAATCCAGTCCACATCCTAAAGTCTCATGTTCCTATAATATCCATTTCATATTTCCACTGCTACTTATGAACGGCAATTTGGAGTCTGTATAGACTTTTGTCTAACTTACGAGACTTGTGTCCTGTTATAAACTGAACGAAGGGAAACCAGATTACGAGTGGATCAGTAACGAAGCTATGTACTTGCTAGAGAAGTTGTCTCGTCAATTTAATCTTGTGGAACTAGGACACATCCTGTCTGTGAAACTTCATCTCCGGTCTGTCTACTTCGTCCAGAATTACAGCCAACTCTGTTTATTCGATAGAGAGATGTGCCCAAATTTTATCTCCACAGACTTACAAGAGCGGAATAACAACTCATCTCCATTTCTCTGCCACTGTGTTGATGATATGGAAACTGTTTAACCTATATTGTGCTTTAACTGCTACGGTTTTGGAACCGTCAATAACAGAAAAATATGACACTTATAAAATCGAAGTCAGAGTAATCGTAAGAAATATGAACGGTCTCTAACCTTACATTATTTTATTTCCGTCTGCCTTTTCAGAAAAAAAAACCTGAAATCATTTGTATTTAAATACTCGTCACTGAATACCAGCAAAATAGTTATATTAAGTAGGAAGTGACGAGTGAGACATACAGCACGATGGCACATTAGAAATACATACAAATGTTGGTATGATAATATTAAAATTGGAACTTGCAGAATATTTATGTGAACTGGATTTATATGAGTCGAGACAAGGTGTATTCATGTGTAAGTGAAAAGATAATGAAATGTTGGTTCTTTAAAAAGAGATGAAATTCTTGATTTGCTCAGTGACTAACAGTTTCTTAACAGAAAGCTTCTCCATGAAGTTAGTTAGTTCCTCGTTTTTTCGGGTCTCTCAGTGTAAGGGAAGATGAAAGGCTGAAAGCATGTCAAAATAAAGTATTCAGGAGAACGTCCCGAACCAAGATGATGAGGAACATTACATTCTGAATCAGAGCAGGTCACACTGACTAATCCTTGACAGATCACAGAAGAACAAGGACAGAACTATATTAGTAAAAATTGCATTCTTTGTACACATTTTAGTGTTTCAGAAGCAAATACGTGAAGATATATTAGGCTTCTAGTGTCCATTTGGAGGAAAGAAATAAATACTAATAAAAAAATTAGTGGACTCACACTGGAGTAGACCAACTGGTAAATCCAAGTACTCCCATTCGAAAATAACTTCAAATTACGTCAAAAAGCATTTTCGAAATATCTTGCTTCAAATCTTTGCTGTTCAAGTGATTTGAGTTACACGATTTTAAATTTGTAATCACTGGTACTTTCATAACCAGTTAAAGAAGGGAAAGAATAACTCACACTCTTCTACACTTATAAATTCTTCCAGTAACACATGTAGGCTAAGCATATTCGACATTTCAACTTGCTTCAAAGCTCTAAGTCTCGTTAAAGTTTGCTATGAAAATAATCTCTTTACTTTCTGATTTTGCTTATATTTCATATTAAATACGGGCAGAATTTTGCCAGTATGGAATATTTTACAAGTTCTCTAACCCTATAAGAATGCTTAAAAAGGAAGGAGGTGTCGCTAAATTCCTGGAATATGCCATAACAACTAATAAAACCGAGCCTCAGATCTAGTTCACTGCTCATGGGGAATTCCACGCTTTTCTTCGTCTTGTTTACATAAGCGCAATCTAGTTCCCTTAAGGTAAAGGCAAAACTATCCCTGTTAACAGGCTGTGGAGGCCCACAGGGTTGTGAGACGTCGAGGTGCTCATATTTTCTAGACAATTGGTTCACAGTTGGTGGTAAGGTAGTCAGCCTTACTCGCCGCCTGCCCTTTACACCCCAGAAAGTTTCCTGGTACTTATTTCTGTTAGAGGCTGAGCCAACTACAGGGCCATAGTCCGGCTGGAAGGATTAGGTAAACTGGAAAAATCCACCTCATCGGGAATTGAATCCGCGACCTTCCGGCTTGTAGGGTAGTGCCTCAACCAACCACCCTACAGTGTCATCAAAGAATGTTAGGGTATATCTTTTGGTAATAACGGACAAACACTGTGTTTAAATACTGTGGGACCTGGTCGTTTTACCATTGAACTATAACATCTGCATTTATGCGAGTATTATGTACTCGCGAGTATATATTTGCCGCAAATTACACAGTGTCTTTGCAGTGCCTCACTTATTACGAAATCGAGGTTCTTGGATTCTGCTAGTTGTTTCATTGTCTT